AAAAAGTAATTTTTTAAAGTAAATCAAATAAAAAATAAGCATAGAAAGAAAAAACTTGTTTTTTTATATCTTTTAAAGACATTCTATTAAACTTAAGAAAAAGAAAAGAAATTAACAAAATAAAATAAAAAAAAAAAGCAATGGGCCCAGGATGTGTGAAAGTGATTGGGCGGTGTGAGTAGGAATCTGATCCTAAAGCCCAAACACCATACATGAAGGTCTGGGTCGGATCCGATGGAGTGGGTCGCCCCATTTCGACCCGTATAGACCTTAAGAAAACAGCAAAACCTAAACCAAAAGAATGGCAAACACGGCTATGTAAGAGGATCAAACAGAAACACAGCCTTCTACTTCTTCTTTTCCAAAATTGCTCGACTTCCTTTCTTCGCTCTCGCCGCACTCTTTTGCTCCGTCTCAATCTTTCTTTCGCGGCTCTTTGTCTCGATCCAGCTTCCTCACTCTCGTCTCGTTTCGCTTTCTTACTCTCGATTGTGCGGCGATATAGTTGTGGTGGTCGGATGCGGCGATGAGGAAACGGTGGTGAGTGGTTTCAATGGTTGTTGTTGTTACACGATCAAAGGTGTTATCAGAGGGAAGATGGAGAGTGACTCGTCGTGAATGAAGAAGGGTGAGCGACGGTTTCGCAACGGAAACAGGGGCGGCATTTATATGGTGGTGGTGCTGCGCTGGGAGGACGAAGGGAAAGTTCAAGGTGGAACAGTTATGTCGTGGGGAGTGTGAGGATGGAAAGTGATTAATGGTTTTTTGTTGCGTTTATTGTTGTTGCTGTTGATGCAAAAATAGTTGATCACTATGGTGGGGCTCTATTTTTACCGGTGCCATACCTCTCATTGATCGAAGTTGTTGCGGTTCCAATTTCACTTGAGCAAGATTCCTCAGTGATGGCAACTGCTGCCCAAACTGATCATTGTTTCCTTGAGGCTCCATCTTCACAGGTCCAATACCACCTATACCTCCCCGCATTGATTGAAAATGTTGTTGCTGCTGTTGATATTGCAGAAGTCTCTGTTGTTGCAAAAGATTCATCTGTGCGGCAGTAGCCTGAGAGGATTGCCTTGACATATGAAGGAGTGAGTGTGTTATGTTGGTGAAACTTGAAAGAGAGGCTTCATTTTGCAGAATGACGAAGAAGGCTTGTGTATTTGGTTGATGATTAGATTGTGAAAGGTTGACGAAAAGGTTTTGTTTTGGGATTCAAATTTTTTAGAGTCTTCTTTCTTTTCTTTTCGTATTCCTTTTGCTACTGCCTTTTTTTTCACTACAAATTCTCTCAATCTCTTTTAAAACCACAAGAACTTGTGAAATAAGTTTTTGGTATAATCTTTGTCTTGTCCTATTGTTGATATGTCTTTGTCACGGCAAGTTTTCTGTTGTTGTTGGTTGTTGATAGGTTGTACCTTGTGTCGCGCATGGCTTTTGTCTTGGTATGGAGTAGAATTTTGGAAGTTTTTTTTTACTGTTCAACCCTAGTTTAAAAACATAAATTTCATAATATCTTAATTTGAAATTTTTTTCTAGACGTGTCTTAAATTTCATATTTGCTCGTCCATTCAAGTGGGGAGCACATGAAAACATATTGTTGAGAAAGTATTCTTCCACTCAAATGGCGAGCATGTGCTTTATTTTTGTTCATATTTTTATTTCATATAAATCATTTAGATAATAATTTTAAATATAAAAAAACATATTATAAAACATATTATATTAATTTAATACTTATATATTAATTAAAAATAATATATTGAGACAATTATATTAATTTAATAATTAAATACTAATTAAAGATATATTATATTAATTAAATGTAATAATAAAATATATGAAGGAATTTATTCAAACAAAAATACATTTTACATATAAATTTTTTCAAAATTGGCCCCCAGTTCCACACTTAGTGGTCTTTTTATGTCGATATCCCCTGCGCACACGTTCATTTGCATTCCTTGTAGGTGATTGAGATGAATCGGAAGACATATCTTGATCGTGATGTGTTATAGGGGGGTCCGCCTGTCTTGAAGGGGGTTCCGCTTGTGTCGAAGGTTGCTCAAATTTGGCATTTGCATCAGTTGATCATCCGTCAGCAAAAATGGTTGTGGTGGTTGGGTTTGTTGGAGGGTTGGGTAGTAGAAATCATCCGGCGTGAATGTGGAGGTTGGTTGAGAGAATGAAGTGGTGAAGGTTTGATGTTGGAATTGAGGGTTTGATTAATCAAAGTTTAACGGAGGAATTGGAGTGAAGTGTAAGGGTGGTCAAAGGTTGGATTGAGGTTGATATTGTTGGTTGTAAGTGTAGTGATAGTTTTGTTGAGATAATGGAGTGTAGGGGGTTTGGTGTTGGGATGAGGATGCATATTATATGTGTTGTTCGGTGGTCTGTGTGCGTTGGTATGTATGCTGAGTTGATGAAGATGCATGCCCCTTAAATTGAGATATGTATGTTAGTGGTACATCCTGATGCATTGGTGCGACAATTGGTTGTGTTGATGACGAACCTTGCATGCGAGGGTCGATCAAAAATTGGTTTGGAGCAATATGCACATACAGAATGACACGAAACCAGTTTAAATACTCTTGGCTTGGCTTGCGTTCACCAACTACAGCATCCCCCTGCAAAATCAAATGTCTTTTATGTTTCCATTCTTTCACCTCCTCTTTGTATAATTCTTGCCAATGAACTTTTTGGGCTTTTCTCATCGTCATTGTGTGGTGTTCCCTTAGACACCTTGGCGGGGAAGAGATTTGTTGTTCAAACCCGAGGTGGAGTTTTACCCTATCTTTTTGATGCATTTCAATAGTATAGAAACAGATAAAAGAAGTTGTAGCACTTCGGATCTAGCTATCTTTAAGATTGGGCACCGGGAATTGAATGTACGACCTCCATATATACTGGCACATTAGAAAAAAATATAATACAATTAAGAAGTATATGCAACAACTAGATTCTATGGTTTCAAACTCACGCCTTTTTCTTGCACGCGGTCCAATGCGTTTCGATACCCTTATAGACGGAAACAAGGATTAACATCGTAATTCATGCGTCTTTGGGCCCATCTTGCAGAAACGAAAAATATAAATATGTTATGCAACCTAACATCTTTGACTGCGACCTTGCACATTTCTCTGTATAGTTTTGCAAGACATGCAGAACCCCAACTAAAGGTGTTACATTTTTCTAGATCCCCTAGGAAAAGAATCCAAGAAGAATGCAATGGATTTTGACTCTTGTCAATTACAAGTAAAATATAAACTTTAGCTTGTAAAATAGTATGTTCTTGGGTTGGAGCAGAGTAATCTTAACAGAACCTCTGGCCATGTAATCCTAACAGAACCTCTGTTTTTATCCGCTTCTGTAGGTTCCACCCCTAAGTTCTCCATGTAAATATCATTTGTTACTTCGGTAGGACCGTTGATAGCTTTTCCATCAACTCGGAGACCAAGTAACATATTCACATCTTTTAACGTTGTCGTGCATTCACCTGTTGGGAAATGAAACGTGTGTTTTTGCTCTCCATTTCTCTAAGAGAGCTACAACTAGGCTGGAGTCAATTTTGAGATTATTTATTTTTGCGATATTAGCAAAACCTGCTATTTCTAAATACGTGATTATTCTCGCACTTGCTTGAATGAGAGCATGAGAATGCACTCGAAACCTTGCATTAGTCTGAAAAGAAATGAAATAATAGTGAACACAAAAATTGTAAACATTATTACATAAAATAGTAGAGGAAAACTTACACTAGCTTGAATGTTTGATTGTGTTTCACGGTGTTCATCGCCCATCCACAACAAAGACATTTTGATAGAGTGTAAAAATATTTGGAGAAATGCTTGAGTGTTTGTTGTTGCTAGAGTGTTTTATGATAGAAGTAAAAACGTTTGAAGTAAAAATGAATTTATAGATGAAGTAAAAATGTTTGAAGTGTAAATGTGATAAATAGAAGTGACATTACACTGAGTTCTGTATGGCATTGGTAATGGTTAACTGCATGGAATGCATGCAAGGCTACTACGTAGGTCTTACACAATGTACTTTGCATGGAGACAATCTCTGAAGCCCTCATGTGCTCGCCAGTTGAGTGGACGAGTTGCTGCATGAGAAGAACATGCTCGCCATCTGGTTGGGCGAGCAGACATTAGTGAAGACCATGCTCGTCCTTTGAGTGGACGAGCACACACATGCTGTCTTTTCTTTGCATGTGTTCCTGGAATATATGTGTGTATTATATATTGTTTGTTTCTCACATTTGTATCATCACTCCACATTCCATTAACAAAATCATAGAGTTCTCACATCAAATATGGCTCAAAGAAATATAATAGTTACCTGTCACTTTAATGGTATTGTTTCGACAAATACTACTATTGGATTCTCCTTCGACAACACATATACTTACACATTCAAAATCCATGTCAATTCTTATTTTTTTCATTTCAAAGATAGAATGGAAAATAAATTAGAACGATTCATTGAGGAGATTATTTATCGTCATCCATTACTTACTTTAGAGGACAGTACAATTCTTTATGTAATGACGTTGATCAGGAACGACGAAGACGTGGAAGCAATGTTTCAGTGCCACATGATGTTTGGTCAGTTACCCACAATTGAGTTGTATGTTCGTCTACTAGACAATACCGAAACATTTCTGACGTAAGAGACACAATCACACCAGTATGGAATGAGCTAAACATCTGACGACGAACCAACACAAAATAACGAACCTTTCATACCAAATGAAGAGGTTGGGGAAGCAAGCGACGAGATCTTCAAGAGGTCAGGATGCAAGATATTTTTGGTAACAGTGATGACGAGGAGGTGAAGATATAATAGTCGCGTCTACGCAGGCGATTCGAATCGAACCAATAAGCTTGTACAACCCACCTGCACATATATAGAATATATGTATGGGAGATGATGAAACAACCTATGTGTTTGGAGGTGTCATACCAAACCATATAGGTGACGAAATAGAGATTGAGATGGAGTTTGAAAACAAGGAAGCTTGCGTTTTTGCTCTGCAACATTGGCATTTAACACACAGTGTTGACTATTGGGTTTACCAATCTGACAATGAACGATATATAATTAAATATAAGAAACAAAACTGCAATCTCAAATGCAGAGCTTCCTTGAGAAAAAGGAACTCAAAATGGGTGATTGGTAAGTTGTCTGGGCCTCACACATGCACTACCACATCTATGGCACAAGACCATAGGAAGCTCAGTTCAGAAATGATTAGCGACAACATTAGAGAGCTTGTCAACCGAGACGCTTCACTTAAGGTGAAGGTGATCATTGCCCATATTCTTGAAAAATACAGGTACATAATATCTTATAGGAAAGCATGGATCACTGAGTGTAAGGCCATAGAGTCGCTCTACGGAAATTGGGAAGCATCTTACAACTACCTGCCATAGTGGATATTGGTAATGAAAACCTATCTTCTTGGAACCATTATTGATTTTCAAACCCTACATGCAATTTCAAATGGTGGTTCCCAAATCTCTGGAAAACGAATCTTCCATCGTATGTTTTGGGCATTTTGACCGTGTATACGTGGCTTTACCTACTGTAAGCCCATTGTGCTAGTAAACAGAATGTGGTTGTATGGCAAGTACAAAGGAACTCTGTTGATGGCGGTGGCACAAGATGGAAACGCAAACATTTTCCCAATAACTTTCACATTGGTTGAAGGTGAAACAAAGGAAGCCTGAAGCTTTTTTCTAAGGAACCTGAGGTTACACGTGACACCACAACCTAATTTGTGCCTAATCTCGGATAGACATGAATCGATAAAGAGTGCATATAACAATCTCTAAAATGGATGGCAACATCCACCATCTTCACATCTCCACTGCATTAGACACATTGCGCAGAACTTCATGCGCGAGATTAAGGACAAGGGTCTACACAAAAAACTTATTAACATGGGTAACAAAATACATTTAAGTTATCTGAACTATTTTATCATACTTTTACTATGTTTTTCATACCATTTGTATTACAGGTTACGCATAGACGGAGGCTACATTTAACTACTATCGCGGAGAAATCCGAAGAACAGACATTGAGGCCTCACGTTGGATATAGACAACACACCTAGGGAGAAGTGGGCTAGAGCATTTGACAGAGGGAAACGTTGGGGACATATGACATATAACTTGGCTGAGGCCATAAACTCTGTACTAAAGGCAACTTGAAACCTTGCAATCACTGCATTGGTCCAGTCTACATACTATCGCATGGGTTCCCTCTTTGGTAAACGAGGCCACAAATGGACCAAAATGCTAGCTACCGGCAAAGTTTTCACGGATGGTTGCAACAAGGGAATGGCTGATGAGGTAGCCAAGGTTAACACATATAATTTCCTGCAATTTGATCGCGAAAGATTCTGTTTCATGGTGCAGGAAAAAATTAATCAGAACTATGGTCGTCCGACGGGTACTTTTAGCGTTGACCTGAGAATCGTTGGTGTGACTGTGGGAAATTTCAGGTATTTCACTTACCTTGCTCCCACGTTATCGCAGCATGTTCTAGCACATGTCAAGACTACGCCATTCACATTCCAGAAGTCTTCACAGTTCTTAACATATTTAAAGTCTACAAGAAAAACTTCCTGGGACTACCGCACAAGGAGAACTGGCCAAAATATGAAGGGTTTATGCTTTGCCACAACGATTCAATGAGAAGAAATAAGAAGAGACGTCCAACCAGTAGTAGGATTAGAACTGAAATGGACGACGCTGAAAAGGAAAAGAGAAGGTGTGGGATTTACAGAGAAATATGCCATATGCATAGAAAATGTCCAAATGTTGTCGGCCCGTCAAACCGACCATCTAGATAATTTTATTTATTTTTCAAATTAATCGGTTTGTAAAGTTTTTTGCTTGCACTTGATTTCTCTTTGATCCAACATTTATTTTTAATGCAAGACAACTTTTAGATTACAACAATACTAGCAGATTACAACCATGAACTTAATATCAGCTTGTCCATACATCATTATGACACAATCATAATCGTCCAATGGATGGTCGAGCATCATGATGCCATAATTTATGTTTTCAAAATAAAATTAAAACTCAAGAAGCTAACATACAAGCTAATCAACAACAACAACCAACACAAGTGGATCTTCAACTCCTCTGTTAACTTCGCCACTATATGCTGAAAACATACATTGGAGATCTTCATCATTTTCTATACGATCCAAGTAATACATGTACGTACCCTCCGGGCTTGCATCAGTCAGCGTTATATACGAACATCGATACTCCATTTTTTTCACCTCTATGCGACGACCACCCAACTGTCGAAACCCCGTGTTAATTGCTGCAACCACGGTTCTGAAATTCCACTGCGGATCTAGGTAAACACTGATTTTTTCTCTTGTCCATAGAAAACAAGAGCTCGGGAAAACATTTTTAAAAAACGAATGATTTATGTTGATACACATTAATCTATTTATAGAAAAATATTACGTTCGAACTCGGTGATTCATTGGCCAAGAGTCTGTAAAAACTCAGCAACTCATTGGTTGAGCATCAATCATTTTTTACAATACACGAAAGGAAAAAAAATAAAATATTATTTAATTCATAACTTATTTTCTTTCTATGTTTTTAATAATTAAAATATTATTTAATATGATATATAATATTTTTTAAATATTTTTAATTATTATATAATTATTAAATTAATATAATATATTTTTAATAATCAAAATTAATATTTTAATTAATTAAACATTATACAAATATGAAAAAAAAAACACATGTGTGCGCCACTTGAGTGGACGAGCACCTTCATCAACAAAATGTTTTCATCTGCTCGCCACTTGAGTGGACGAGAAAGTAGAGAATCTAGGGCATGTCTGATAACTTTTTTCAAGTAGGGTATTGTGGGATTTATGTTTTCAAACTAGGGAAGAACAGTAAAAAATTCGAATTTTGGCTTGATGTGTTGAGCTTGATTGGTTTGATGGAAGTGACAACTTTTCTGGCAATTTTGGTGCAGCAGGTCTTAGAGTGACAATTTGGTGTATGTGTGGTGTACAAATTGTGCAGGACAATATTTTTTCTTGTGTGGAGTTTTCATCCTGCAGCATTTGTACTTTCCCATTTCATTATTTTTTTTTTATAATATTGGTGTAACTTGTGTGGGTTTTTGCATGGATTTTATGTAATGGACTTTTGTTGGTCTTGCTTTTTTGTTTGTAATTTTGTAAAATCGATTTATGATGAATTAATTAAGAATGAACTTTGTAAATTAAAATGTGAATTGGACTTGACAATTTTATTGTAAATGGAATAATGGGTTTATGGTTGAAAAAATGGTAAGAGATATGGAGTGGATTTAATTGGATAAATGAAAAAAGGATTTTTAAATGGATAATTTAGAAAATTGAATTCAAATGGATAAATGGATAGAAAATAGAAAATGAATAATTATTCATATATGGATAATTGAAATGGTGTTTAGAAATGGATATGAATTTTGTAACGCGTCTCCAAACTTGAACAACACTTAAAACCTTGACAAGTGAACTTGAATGCCACAATTCTCAAATTAAACAAATAAGGTCTACCTTGAATCAATTTCTGATGAATGACATCACAACCCTGGATCCATGATCTTCAATTGCACAACAAACTTAACGAATCCTTAGATCAATAACGAGAGCCTGAACCACACACCAGTACTTGCATACAACTTGAAATGTACCAACTGCCTTGATCTTTGATAGCTCTACAAGTTGACTTCACCAGATGAACTTGAATTGATATAAATTTCTGAGTAGAGCCTCAAATATAAAGCACTGATATGCGCCAAACCCTACTTAAAAATGAAACGATCTCCTCTTTCTTAAACAAGATTAAGTCACATCCAATTGAACATGACAACACTGCACACACATTTAAACTGCAAGCCTCAAGTGAGCCTGAATTGAATGAAACATGCCCATTTCAAACATAAAGGAGCAAGAAACCCTAATCTTCCTGCTTTGGGTGCATACTAATGAAACAATGATTTAGGAAATTGATGAGAACCAAAAACCCTAATTCAAAGTCTTCCCAACTAGGCCTCTGAACATTTGATACCCTTGAGGAAATTCAAAGAAGATGACATCCATGATGATGAAAAACCAACACCTTGTTTCAAATTAAAGTACAAAACCAAATGAAAACAACTCTGAATAATGGAAATCCAGATTAATAGAAAACCTCCGATCCCATGTCTTAAGAGTCCGATGAAAAACAAGTTATACTATGCAGATAATGCAAGGACAAATAAAGTCAGATGAATGCAAGTTTAAAAATGTCCGGTCAACATTTGAGGTATGACAAGGTGTATCATAATTTGGGCAGTGAGGGCTTGCTCACAGTGGCGAGAAGCCTTGTATGATGGTTTTTGAGTTTGCTTAAGGGACTAGCTCACGTAAAGTGAGATGCCCTATTGGTGGTCGGCACTGCTGGGTTGCAGCCGGACGGTTAGGTTGATGGTGTGTTATGGCTACTAGAAGCGTAATGTTCTCTAAGTAGTGGTAAATGTGAACGAATTTAGACTCTCCTTATCCCCTTGAGGGGGTAATGTATTTATAGAGGCCTTAGGACCTAAGGTTACCTAGAAAAAGGTCACTACCCACTCAGTCAAATGATGGACAGTTGAATCCCTATTTCCAAGGGTGATGGGGGTCAGCAACGACTCAGACTTTGTCTTTATCCAAGACATGTCTTATCTCACATTTATTTCCCTCTATGGGCAAGGAAAACTTAAGGGCGAGGCGATACATCCTTTCGGGCAGCTTTATGTCGTCACCTTCTCCTAAGGCGGTCCCCCAAAATTTCCCTTGTTAAGGGCCAAACTGTGCTTACTTTTGACTTAATTTGATGGCCCTTTCAATTGGTTTTCTTGGTAGTATAGTCTAAATTCTAGTAGTTTAAGTGTATTTATGTTAGTTTCTGTTTTTATTGTAAATATTGTGAATACTGAGCATTTTGATGTTCCTTGACATATCTTCTTGGCCATTTTTGACGATAGGAACAATTGGTGAAGGAAAGAAGGATTGAAAAGCAAGTTTTGAAGTTTTCGTGTCGGCAAAGCGCGCAAAGCGAGCTTTTTAGCGCGAGACCAACGCGCTCATGTATTTTCCAGTAGCTAAAGGCTGAAAACGCGCTAAGCGGGCTCCTACCGCGCTTCTTGGATTTTTGCTGTGTTTTTCTGACCATGCTTAGAGCCCCTCTGAGGGTGCTTAGCGCGATGCCACTTACTGCACTAAGTGGCCTTGTCTAAAAATATCTCTTTTGGAAGATATTTTCATCAAATTTTATACCTTTTCACGTTTTACACACTTTTCAGCATTTGAGCAAGAGAGAAAGGATTTTCTAGGTCAAAAACCTTAGAAACTCTTGAAAAA